GGCTCCCTTACAGCTAGAGGTGAACATGTGGCATGGTCCTGGCCAACGGGGTGTAAGCAGAGTCTGTTAACATTCTCCTTTCTCCTCCTTTCTTCCATCCTGGAATGTGGACTTGATGTTTGGAGCTGCAAAAGCGATCTTGTGACAGGAGGAAAAGGCCAGGAGATTTTCACAGAGACCTTGGCACTGAAATTGTTGAGAATCTGGCATTCTTTCATATGTAGCAGAAAGCAATGCTAGCTTACAAAAGACTGAATGAGTAGCTGAATGAGAAGCAGCTAGCCATGTCTCCAAAGCCATGATGCCTTAACTTTTCTGGAAGGATTGCACAGAGTTCAGGCAGGTATCAACCTTCATAATCAGGGTGATTTTTCCTTCACACCTTCATAATGTTCACAGTAATTCTTTATACAGTATCTTGACATCAAAACAATGTTAGTGATTACAGAAGCCCTGTAAATATGTTCCTTTTCATTTCTTCTGTGAAATGTTGTGAGTATAATGACCTTAAAATCCACTTGGGGGCCCAGTTACATGTGTGGGAGCTACAGTAAATAGGAAACCGAGGGGCTCTACTTAGCTATGTGGAGGGGTAAACAGTGAAAGGAGGATGATTTCCTTTCTTCTGTCTTTTTTTTTTTTTTTTTTTTTTGCAGTACGCGGGCCTCTCACCGTTGTGGCCTCTCCCGTTGCGGAGCACAAGCTCCGGACGCGCAGGCTCAGCGGCCATGGCTCACGGGCCCAGCCGCTCCGCGGCATGTGGGATCTTCCCGGACCAGGGCACGAACCCATGTCCCCTGCATCGGCAGGAGGACTCTCAACCACTGCGCCACCAGGGAAGCCCTATGGAAGCATTATTAAACATATGTTCAAATATTTGCATCTTCAGTTTCTGTTTCTCATTTTGCATTTCTCTTATGAGAACAGTTTTTGTGAAACGTTAGTTTTGCCTCAGCCATGCCATCCTAGGTCTCTTATGTTTTTGGGTTTTTTTTGCGGTACGCGGGTCTCTCACTGTTGCGGCCTCTCCCGTTGCGGAGCACAGGCTCCGGACGCGCAGGCTCAGCGGCCATGGCTCACGGGCCCAGCCGCTCCGCGGCACGTGGGATCCTCCCGGACCGGGGCACGAACCCGTGTGCCCTGCATCGGCAGGCGGACTCTCAACCACTGCGCCACCTGGGAAGCCCTGTCTTTCTTTTTATGGCTTCTAAACTTTCTCTCTGACTCTTCCCCTCCCCACCCTGCACCCTTCCTGAGGGTCCCCAGGGATTTGGAGGCAGGTCTGAGGACTGGGGCAAGTGGTCTAAACCCAGAAATTTGGTCTCATGGGACAAAGAGGGACTCAGGAAAGGCAAAAGGGCGAGAGGTCTCCAGTGAGTAAACTTCACCAACTGCGTTCATTATAGTGGACAATACTGAGGAGGCACGGAAAGCTTCCTCCAGTTTCCAAAAGAGTCAGACAGCTGGACACAGGAGCCACTGAAGGAACTGTCCTTAAATATTCTCTTGGCCCATGAATAGAGCTGGAGGAAGACTGAGAAAGGATTTACAAGAGACAGAGCTATGTGTCTCCTCAACCTTCAGCGAGGTGGAGATGTACCACCGATTAGCATGATACATGCCTATGAGACACTGAGAAGGAACACCTCTCCTCTGCATAAGTGACAATGCGAATTCAAAATCCTGAAGAAATACACTTTGGTTTCTCCATGCATAGACAGACATGGATTCACGACGTTTCCGGTTTTTGTTTTTTTAATTTTATTTTTATTTGTTTATTTTTGGTTGCGTTGGGTCTTCGTTACTGCGTGCGGCTTTCTCTAGTTACAGTGAGCGGGGGCTACTCTTTGTCGTGGTGCGCGGGCTTCTCATTGCGGTGGCTTCTCTTGTTGCGGAGCACGGGCTCTAGGCGTGCGGGCTTCAGTAGTTGTGGCTCACGGGCTCAGTAGTTGTGGCTCACGGGTTCTAGAGCTCAGGCTCAGTAGTTGTGGCACACGGGTTTAGTAGCTCCGCAGCATGTGGGATCTTCCCGGACCAGGGCTCGAACCCGTGTCCCCTGCACTGGCAGGCGGATTCTTAACCACTGCGCCACCAGGGAAGTCCCACGACGTTTCTGTTTTCATAGCAAAGTCCTACGGAGGCGAACACTCTGCTTCCCCGTCATCGTCCCGCTTCTTGCATCCCAACTTAGGAGACAGTGACACGGAAGTCCTCCATCCCATCCCCACCTCTTCCTCGGTTTCTCCACCTTCATTCAGCCTCTCCTTCCTACAGAACCAGCACTTTCTCTCCTGATTCTTGTCTCAGCATCTAAATCTCCCCTCCTTAAAACTCCATCCTCCTCCCTGTGTCCTCCTGCAGCGACCAGCCTCCCTCCTTCCTTTGTCTCACTCTCTACTCCCAGGTCAATCCAACCTCCACAGTCTGAGTTCTGACCTTGGACATCGCTCTTCCTGAGGACACTGCGGTTTCCTGACTGTCAAATCCCACAGCCTGCCTGACCTCTTGGCAGCACTCGACAGTGCCGACCCCTCTCCTCCCTTAAACCCTCTTCTGCTTTGGCTCCCGTGGAGGAGGCTGCCAGTTACCTGCTCCATATCCTGCGTTTCTCATTCCAAAAAAAAAAAAGGCCTTTATCAGCTTCCCCTACAGGCGGGGTGGCCAGATAATAGTTCTAGCCACTGAGATTTAAATGGAAGCTGTCAGATGGGCCTTCCAAGGAAGTTCATATTTGGAGACATATTCGGTTGGTGTGTGCATGCCTATTTACTCCTGACCTTTCCTCCTTTCTCCTGCCTGGAACATGGACCTGATGGCTGGGGCTAGGGCAGCCATCTTGCACACGTCGAAAAGGCCAAAACGACAGAGATGTCGATACCATTATCCTGGAGCTGCGGAACTAATACCAACCACGCTTATCGCCACACTACTTGTTACATAAGAAAAATAATCCCCTCTCTTGTTTAATCCACTATTATTTGGGTTTTCTATGATATGCTGCTGAAATCAACCCTTAACTGATACAGCTCCCATGACTCTGTCACTCTCGTCCTACCTCTTTAACCTCTTCAAGGCCCCTTTGCTTCAACAACCCCTACATGTTGATGTTCCTTAGCTACCATCCCTGGTCCTCTTCCTCCACTGTTTCCCAAACAACCCAGTGGTGTCTGCTGCTTCCCAAGTCATGATGACTCCAAATCCCAATGTCTAGCTCCGACCTTTCATCAGAGCACCAGATCTTTATCTAAATGTCTACCTGCCTGCCACATAGGAGCCTCATATACACTACACTCACAATTAAACTTACCAGCTTTCCCATAATTCTGTTCCTCCTTCTAGTCACTGGAGCTAAAGACCTTCCGCATCACTTACCCTCATACCCAGCTGGTCCTGAAGTCCCATCAGGTCTCTTTCCAACAGCTCCGCTTTATTCCCACTTCTTCAATCCTACTGTCTTATACAGGCCTCATCATCTCTTCCTGAGCCACCGCATATACCTCCTAACTAGCTCCTCTGCCTCTCATCTACAATCCAAATTGGTGTTTAAAAACATGCAAATCTAGGGCTTCCCTGGTGGCGCAGTGGTTGAGAGTCCACCTGCCGATGCAGGGGACACGGGTTCGTGCCCCGGTCCGGGAAGGTCCCACGTGCCATGGAGCAGCTGGGCCCGTGAGCCATGGCCGCTGAGCCTGCGCGTCCGGAGCCTGTGCTCCGCAACGGGAGAGGCCACAGCAGTGAGAGGCCCGCGTTCCACAAAAAAAAGCAAATCTAATCACACCATTTTCTTTCTTAAAACCCTTCAATGGCTTCTTGTTCCTCACAAGAAAGAATTCCAATGCCTTTGCATGATCTGAGTCCTACACATCTTGTCAACATTCCTTACATTATAGCCACATAAATTCACCTGTGGTTTCCCAAACTTGCCATGATTTTTCTCACTTCCTTGCCTGACTGTCCTCTCTGACTTGTAAGCTGGAAACTGCAAAAACAAAGTTTTAAGTGGATATTTAGGAACCTGACTTGGGCCCTTATCTTCCTGGGAATTCTCCCACCTTTGTGCACAGAAACTCAGTGGTAAAGAACTGTCAGAATCGGAGAGATTCTTGTATTGTTCACTTAACATAATTGCTTAATTATAATTCCTTTTTTAATCAAAGAATTCTCTGCCATCACCTTGAACCAAATTGATCAAAATAAACATCAAGGGCTTCCCTGGTGGCGCAGTGGTTGAGAGTCCGCCTGCTGATGCAGGGGACACGGGTTCACGCCCCGGTCCGGGAAGATCCCACATGCCACGGAGCGGCTGGGCCCGTGAGCCATGGCCACTGAGCCTGCGCGTCTGGAGCCTGTGCTCCGCAATGGGAGAGGCCACAGCAGTGAGAGGCCCGCGTACCGCAAAAAAATAAAATAAAATAAATAAACATCAATTGCCTTTGTTGTCTTGTATATGTATTTTCATTTAAAATTTCACCTTTGTCCAATGTAAAACATTCCCCCAGTGCGCACTCAAGAGAAAAGGAGATATTTACTTTAATGTGCTAAATGCTGGGGTTTCTTCTATTTCTTATCCTATTAAATTTTACCTCCTAGCATCCTGAAATTTTAGGGTCCAGCCCCTAAAATTTTCCAGAAAAGGAAACCAAGGCTCTATTGACTCAGGAACATGGCACCAGGGAGGTGGTTATTGGTGGGACATACCTAGATCCTGGCTACGGATTCAGCTCTTACCATCTCACGGTGAAGGCACAGATCATCTCCAACTCACAAAGAAGGCTCCCCTCTGCTTCCAGTGAGAGGAAAGCAAAGTAGCCCCCAAACAGCCAGTTAAGCTAATTCTCTTATACCACTCCACTTAAGGCAAGATGACAGCATAAGGGCTTTAAGAACAAGGAAATTAAAAGCATTAAGTCCAAGGTTCTGCTTGCCCTGGGAATAGAACGGCCCTCTCCCCTCCTCTCCGACTCTGTGCCCCACCTCTGGGCCCATGGAGAGCCACTCACCCTCTGGGTGATGGGCTTGCCATCCTGGATCTCCACAGCCAGCCCCAGGTCGGACAGTCTGCAGTTTCCAAGGTCGTCCAGAAGCACATTCTCGGGCTTCAGGTCCCGGTAGACGATGCTGAGGGAGTGGAGGTGCAACACGCCGCAGGTCATCTGCGCCGAGTAGAAGACCACCCTGCTCATGTCCAGGCCCCGCTCGCCCACACTGTAAATGTGGAACTTGAGGTCTCCCCCATTCATCAGGCTCATAACCAGGCAGAGATGGGACTTGCTCTCAAAGGCATAGGCCAGAGAGACAATGAAAGGGCCTCTCCAAGATTTCCTTTTCCAAGAGAGCCATCTTCTCACCATTTTTCTCCTTCAGCCGCTTCTTGTCCAGTTTCTTACAGGCATACATCTTGCCGGTGTTTTTCACCTGGACAGCACATACCTTAAGGAGAGAAAGAAAGGGAGAGGAAGAAATAGACAGCACTGGAGACAGGAAGGCGAAGGGGGATACAGAGGGTGGAGGAGCAAAAAACCACCAAGGTGGAAAGACGGCAGGCTTCTGAGAAAAGAGAAGCTGTGAGTGAGAAGGATTCTTTGAGATAGAGCTGGGACCACAGTGAGGTATCACTTCACCCCCACTATGTGAGCCATAATTAAAAAAAAAAAAAAAAAGGAAAAACAGCAAGTGCTGGCAAGGATGTGGAGAAATTGAAACCCTCACGTGTTGCTGGTGGGAACTTAAAACTTGGAAGAGTTTGGTGATTTCTCAAAACGTTAAACATGGAATTGCCCTAAGACCTAACAATTCCACTCCTAGACATATACGAAAGAGAAATGAAAGCAGGTATTCAAACAAATTCTTGTACATAAATGTTCACAGCAGCACTATTCACGCTAGCCAAAAGGTGGAAACAACCCAACTGTCCAGCAATAGATGAATGGATACATGAATTTAATGTAGTATTCCCATACAACGGAATGTTATTCAGCCCTAAAAAGGAAGGAAGTACATGCTACAATGTGAATGAACCTCCGAACCTTACGCGCAGTGAAAGAAGCCAGCCACAGAAGCTCAAATACTGTATGACTCCACTGATATGACACACCAGAATCGCAAATCCATAGAGACGGAAAGCAGCCCAGTGGTCACCAGGGGCTGGGTGGGTTGGGGGAGCGGGGGAGATGGGTAGTAATTGTTAATGGGCACAGGGGTGACGAAAATATCTTGGAACTAGATAGAGATGATAGTTATACAACATTGTAATGTATCAAATGCTATTAAACTGTACACTCTAAAATGGTTAATGGCTAATGTGATCTTTTACCTTAAAGAATTTTTTTCAACTTAAAAAGAAGAAACCTGAGCACAGCATTGGTGCCAAATGGATTCCAGGCTTTAATTCAAGATGAGTGTTTTCTTAGCTCTCTGAAGTTTTTCTCAAATTACCTCCATTACCACAATTAAGGGGAAAGGGGGATTCCCCCATTGTTTGTTGCTATCATTCACCAAAGGGGCATTTCAGTGTGTGCCTGCCTGTTGTAGACCCCACGATAAAGATTCTTGGCCAGTTCCACATTTTGTTAGTTTTTCCTAGGCCGTTCTCATTTTATTTCACGCGGTGACCGGAAAGAAGACGTGAGAGCAAGCTACGAATTCTTTCTCCACACGTGGCACTGAGATTAGTTCTAAGTTCCCTTGAGATTAAAAAGGAAAAAAAAAAAAAGAAGAGGTAAAATAAAACTCTATTATGCTGTCTATTTCGTCTTCCGGCCTGGCTATTCTGAAACACCTACCTCCCCAAAACCACCTTTCCCCAGCACCCGGAACTCTTCGAAGTACTTGTCTGACACGGGCTGCATCTCAAAGACTTTCCACCGCAGAAACTTGTCGTAGAAGGGGCTGGCCAGGAACTCTAGGAAGGGCTGGTCCTGCAAGAAGTCCATGGCCTCAGCCTTGGCCAGCTCCACCAGGGATGCTCGCTCTTCCTCCGTGGTGGCTGCTTGGCACTTGGTGACCAGAGCTGGGCTGAGGAAGGGGTGTGGGTGCGCTGCGGAGGCCGCACAAGTGGCCACCAGCCCCTGCAGCGTGCTGCCCTTGGCGGGACCCTCTTCGGCCAGCTCCCAGCTCTGCACCTCCTCCAGGAAGCCCACGGCCTCCTGGTACGCGGGCACCGTGGCTAGGAAGTCCCGGAAGAGGCGGCGGCCGATGGGCTGCTGCTCGGACAGGCTGTGGAAGTCGTTGGGCGGGGCCTGGCGGAGCTGCTCGCAGCTCTGCGGCCCGGGCAGCATCAGGGTCCGGCGTCGGCGCTGCAGTTCCTTGCTGTCGGCATCCAAGGACTTCCGCGCCTGCAGGTAGGCCGAGTTGGCGATCAGGTTGTCCAGGCCCCCCATGTCGACCATGGCTGAGCACCGATCGTGCTCCCTCGGCACAGAAAAGGAAGGATGGAGGGCTGCGGCGGGGACGCCGTCAGGCCCCGGCCAGCTGGCTGCTCTCCAGTCCAAGGTGCAGTGACTTCTGAGGGATTTACAGCGAAGCTTCGGGTCTGCGGGTGGGACTGATGGAGGGTGAGGAAAGAGGTTTCTCTTGTAAGAAGCTTTGCTGGCTATGTATAGCCGGCCAGGGAAGGGCGCCTCACAGGTCACCCACCGAGGGGAAAGCAGTCTGTGACACCTGCAGGGTCTACCTGTTCATCATGGGGCCTTTCTCATCTACACCTGCTCCCTGAATCCCCAGCTACCAATTTCCAAAGGAAAGGAGTCATCATAAGGTGGTGTGTTATTTGTTGCTGACAGCAGTGTTTTCAACTGTGTCTGATTTTACGTGTTTCCCAGCAGGTGCAAGCTAAGTAAACTCCTAGGAATGACAGGTCAGGAAGACGAGCTGTGAGAAGCTGGAGAGGTTTTCTTCCTCGTGTCTAGCAGCCTGATCCAGAGCAGGTTACAGAAGGGGTTGCTCTGAGCTGTGAGTCACGAGACATGTTCCCAGGGGCCCTTGGGAGCCCAGGTCGTGGCCCTCACTCTCCCATAGCCGGTGACACCCTCTACAGCTTACAGAGATCCTCCAGCCACGGCTTTCTTAGTTCTGAGGAATCTGTGACCTACAGTACCCAGTTAAAAAGGGGAGGGTCACCTTGACCCAAAACATCCCGTGAAATGACGTCAGCAGG